GTAAAATAACTGTAGCTCAATAAAAAAAAATGTTAAAAAAAAAATCAAGCTACAAATCTAGCTGTCTGGAAGAAAGGCCTAAATATGCAAACACAGGATGGCGCCCGGAGGCCCCGGTCCACAACTGCAGCCAGAATCCTGTGGAGGAAGTAGAAGGACAGGAGAGAGAACCGCGGAACCGCGTTCTGGGAATCAGATTCTTAGAGCACAAACAGTTCAGACGTCATCCCATCTCCCATCTTCCCAGGCCACCCTTGCTGGGGGACAGAGTATTTTCAGGAGTGCCCACATTACTAAGTTCTTCCTCCCCTGCCAGCAATCAGCATCACAACAGCCCTGCACATTAGCACCGCAATAGATCCAGCCTAATTCCTCCGGGTCAGAGCAGCTCCTGAAATCCTCCTCAGAGTCTGCTCTTTCTCTGGCTAAAATGCTCAACTCAGTGGTTCACAGTGTTTTCTAAACCTCTGGCTATCTCAGGCAACCATGAAGTAGCAATATTTCCATTAAGACAAGGAACCCAGAATTGAACAACATAATCCGAATGGGATCTGACCAGCGTTGCCCCGTAAGGGCTGTTCTTCAATTCCCTTTGTTTCCATTAATCGTCCAAAAATACAGTCAATTAGCAAACACAAATAATAAAAATATAGTAACACAGACTGACATATCCACTTGATGAGCATTGACACAGCAACCAAGAACGGTTTTTCAGGAAAAAAAGGACACTGTGAACTCATCTACAAGACCGAAACAGACTCGGACTTAGCAAACAATCTTACAGTTACCAGGAAAAGGGGGTGGGAAGGGAAAATATGGGAATTTGAGACTTACAAATGTTAGCCACCATATATAAAAATAGATTTTTTTAAAGTTTCTGCTGTATAGTACAGGGAACTATGTCCAGTATCCTGTAATAACCTTTAATAAAAAATATGAAAACGAATGTATGTATGTATATTCATGACTGGGACGTTGTGCTGTACACCAGAAATTGACACATTGTAACTGATGGTACTTCAATTAAAAAAAAAAAAAAGAATGGTTTTTCAAAGAGGTGGTGGTAACATGGAAAAAAATCTCTAAACTATAATGTTAAATGAAAAAAAAGTCAAAGTATCTGGGCACTTCCCACTCTTCTGAACTCAGCTCAGGCACCTCCTCTGCGAAGCTGCCAAGGAAAGTCTGTCCCCCACTGTTTTAGGTGACAGGTGACGTCCTCTGGTTTCCTATCCCCCAAGCCTCCATCCAAGTCACTCAGTGTCTCAAAGTCAACCACCTGCTCCTTAAGGATGAGGGAGAGGAGTGGGGGCTGTGTCTTGCTCCACAATTCTAGCATGGGTTAAGACACGTAATAAATGTGTGATGAATTAATTCATGACAACCATGTCCTCAGCTGTAGAACAGGAATGACGTTATGATTCCATTTTGGGGAGAATACACGTACACACACATATACATTAATATCCACATAAATACTAGTATACGCATGGAAGACTGTTGGAGACGAGAAACCAAACTATTCCAAGGTTTTATAACCTGGGGGAAAGAATTTCAGAGAAATTTCACTGTGTACATTTGTGTATTGCTCAACTTTAAAAAAAAAAGTCCTTTCCTAATTTGTTTTTTGACCCTAAATTTCTGAAGTTTAATTTTGGGGCAAACATGTTTAAATCTCTTCAAAATCAAATACATCTCTAGTCAACACTAACCTTGGCAGCTATTGAGAAGTCAGACTTCTCACATCAGTGAGGTACCCTTGAACAGTTTATTTAAATGTGGAGATTCCCAGGCTCTATTTGACCATAAGATCCTAACTTTCATAATCAGAAAAAAAAGCAGGTTTTTTTTAGAAAATATTAAAATGCCTCTCTAGGGTACTTTCCCCATTTTTAAAATTCTTTCTACTTATCTCAGTCAGCCAAATGCTCTTTAAAGATGTACATATTAGCCTTTTTAATCATAATTTTAAAAGGTACAACCAAATAAAAACTTCATGGGAAGGGGGATACTTACTCTGCATTTTAGGGAGCCACATTACATGCCTGGCTTTCAACTGGAAATTCAGGATCTGCTGTGGTGTCCCGCTTACTCCAGGGCCTCCCTTACTCCAGGACCTCCCGGGGCTCCTCAGGTCCCAGCCCTGGGAGGGTGGGGGTTTTGTGTCCACAGTCAGAGCGGTGCACGTCCTCCCAGTGCAGACGGACACAGTGCAGTTCTCGGCAACCTCTCATGCAGGCTGCCCTTCTTCTGACTCACAACTGTGTCATCCAAGGTATTCACCTTTCCCTCCCAGTAAGGTGTCATATACAAAGCTGATAAGCAAACAAAGACCTCATCAGAGCTGTTACTAAATAAGAAAGGATACAGGACTCAGGAGGGAGTCGGGGACAGCCCCAGGCCACCACCCAGAGTGACTTGGAGGCATGAGGGGACTCTCTTAGGCACAGCTGCTCAGACACAACCCCCGGACCTCACTCTCCTCCATCCCCCAGTCTTCCACCGCACCACCCAGCAGACAGGAGACGGATACACCTCCCAGAGCATCAGTACGTGAACAGCCACAAACTAGGTAAAACCTATGTGTGTGGCAAAGACTGGAAGAGTCCCCAAAAATGTAAACAACCTGATACGTTGGCTTGGGTAGGTGGCTTCTTTTTGATCATGTGTGTAACAAATAAAGCTACCATTTGTTCAAAGCCTTGTTGAAGCCCATTTCTAGCCAGTCTCCTGGTCTACCAGGTGAGTAACCTCATCAAACAAGAAACCAGACAAGCTTGGTGTGAGAGGTCTGGAGCGGACCTGTGCTGGCACCTGGTGTCAGTTCTCCACTTAAAGATGTGTTCTCACTAAACAAGCAACTCTCCAAGGAAGAAATGCAAATGATCAACAGCCACATGAAAAAATGCTCATATCACTAATTATCAGAGAAATGCAAATCAAAACTGCAATGAGGTATCACCTCACACCAGTCAGAATGGCCATCATTCAAAAGTCCACAAATGACAAATGCTGGAAAGGCTGTGGAGAAAAGGGAACCCTCCTACACTGCTGGTGGGAATGCAGTTTGGTGCAGCCACTGTGGAAAACAGTGTGGAGATTCCTCAACAGACTAAGAATAGATTTACCGTATGACCCAGAAATCCTGCTCCTGGGCATTTACCCAGAAGAAACCCTACTTCAAAATGACACCTGCACCCCAATGTTCATAGCAGCACTATTTACAATAGCCAAGACATGGAAACAGCCTAAAGGTCCATCAACAGATGACTGGATAAAGAAGATGTGGTATATTTATACAATGGAATACCATTCGGCCATAAAAAATGACAACATAACACCATTTGCAGCAACATGAATGTTCCCGGAGAATGTCATTCTAAGTGAAGTAAGACACAAAGAGAAAGAAAAATACCATACGAGATCGCTCGTATGTAGAATCTGAAAAAAAAAAGAACATAAATACAAAACAGAAACAGACTCACAGACATAGAATACAAACTCGTGGTTGCCAAGGGAGTGGGGGATGGGAAGGGACAGACTGGGATTTCAAAATGTAGAGTAGATAAACAAGATTATACTATATAGCACAGGGAAATATATACAAGCTCTTGTGGTAGCTCACAGTGAAAAAAAAATGTGACGATGAATATAAGTATGTTCATGTAAAACTGAAAAATGGTGCTCTACACTGGAATTTGACACAACATTGGAAAATGACTATAACTCAAAAAAAAGTTTAAAAATAAATAAATAAAGATGTGTTCTCGGATTTTGCTGGGGGTGAGTTTCAACCTCCACGTCTTTGGAACACAGCTGTATATAATGGCTTTGCTGTTAAGACTCCAGGCTTTGAAGTCGCTCAGATCTAGGTTTGAACCTTTGCTCCACTTCTAACTGCCTTGGGGCTATTATGCAAACCCTTTGAGCCTCAGTCATCTCATCCATAAACTAGGCATTGCTCTCATACGGATGCTGTGAGAACACAGATGGTGAACAGAAGTGCACATATTTAGTGCCGGGGAGCAACGACTGTCATCAAATTCCTCACCTTTTCACCACCGTCACCACCAACTCGGAGAGACAAGGACCCAAGACTCTGACCCGTTTGTTAGCCAACTATCACAAGGATCTTAAGGTTTCTGTTGCTAATTCTGATGATACGAGATTCCAAGACAGAATTTTCAGTAGGGATCTGCTTCTAGAAAAGTTCTTAGCAAAGAAAAAGGGCAATTACTGCCCATGAGCTCTGAGCAAATTCCAAACACCCTTCTCACCCCCACCAGCCAGAGTGAGCATTTCCTGAGACGCTCAGAAGTTCCTATTTCCCACTCCTACAATCAAATGGTTATCGGAATTTTGCTAAGCCCCAGGCATCTCAGAAAAATCCTAAGAAGAGAAATCCAGTTTCTTACCCAAATCAAACCAAGTCTTACTCTTAGACGTAAATCCCTCCTAGAGCCCTCTGGGCGGAGAGCGCCACCCTGCACCGCAGCAGCCCAGGGAGAACACAGCACAGCCGCACTGCCTGGGTGCAAACCCCAACCCCACTGCTGTTTTGCGCTGCGCCCTTAGGCAAGTCACTCAGCCTCTCTGTGCTCCCCCTTCCCCGCCTGTAAAAAGGTCTAAGAGGTACAACACATGCTATATGCTCAGTAAGCACCAGCAACGACTATCAGAGCTCTGAACGCTCCCGTCGTATGTGCACAAGGCCAGAAGCCACATCTCTGGGACCTGGGTTCCTCAGGGGCTGGTCACACCCTCGCTCTTCTTCTAAGAACAGACTTCCTCTCTTAGGAGAGACATGAGCCAACCACCTGGGCAGAACCACTGCCAGAGAAGGAACTGATACCAGAGGAACTCCAGGACCACGGCGGCCACTGGCCACAGCTGACAGTGAGAGGCCAGGCAGGCGCGACGGGGCCCCACAGAGGAGCCGGCTCTGGGCAGACCCGCCCCAGGACAATCTGCAGGGGTCGCAGGAGACTTCGGCTTCCTACCTGAGCAGCTGTCAAGCTAGTGCTGCCTTCTCTCACCCTCAGTTTCCCGTCTCCTGAATGAGGGCCAGGAATGTCCAGGTCTCCCAGGACCAGCGGAGGGCAGGCTAGTTCCCATGCTTACCACCTCCCCTGCTCTCCTCTCACCCCTGCACACACCTTCCAGCACAGGGCCTGCCCCTTCCGGAGAGGCCAGCACATGCTCGGAGAACCGAGAAAGAAGGAAGTGTTTTGTTTCACGTGACGGGAGGAGAAAGGGATGAGCAGCCAGTTACAGTAGGTCTCAGCTCCCCCTTCCCTTTCACAGGAGGACCTTTCTCTAGAAGCCACGTAAAGGGAGGGAGATGAAACCTGGGACCACAGGAAGAGGGTCTCCGTCGCTGGGATGCTGATTCCCTGACACTCCTCGAAGTGATCGCGTGTGTTCAGCAGGCTGCGCGGTCAGCACAACCCCACCCCCACCCCCACCCCCACCCCCCCGCTTCTCAGCCTCTTCCCGAGCATCCTGCTGATACGACATCACCTTCCTGCTTGTCTCGAGGCTTTTCCAACTCAGAAACTGAAACACTGCGATTCGTAGACCACGCTGCAACTTACAAAGGGCTTTCATGTTAAGTAGCCCTTTCAATCTTCGCAACAAACCTGTAACACATATGTCATCCCCGTTTCACAGCCACAGACACTGAGGCTTAGAGGGACGAGGTAACACCGCTGAGATCACCCAGGAGGACAGTGGTGGCCCAGGTCTTGGCTCCACGTCGGACACTCCTGCCACCACGTCACAGATGGCCTCTGGCCACGAGTCACCCACCCTGGCCCGTCAAGCCTGGGTTAGGCGCCCACCCTAAGTGGCTCCCTTTAGCTTCTCCAGAACCCAGTACTTACCACACAGAATTTAATTCCCTGCATCCCACACGACTCTGGGCGTTCCCTGAAGGCAGGGACTGTGTGGGGTCTTTCTCGGGGCCGCTGCCCAGTAGCTGGCACATGCTCCGTCTGTGGTCACCTGATAGGTATTTGTCCTGAAGATGAGTGAATGTCTGACTGACTTACAAAGAGCTGGCACTCCCGACAGCCCCCACAGCATCTGATTTTGATCTCATCACACCCCATTTTGCAGGCCTGGCCTCCGCCTGCTGAAGGGTGCTGAGTCCTACCGGGGCAATACTGACTTAGGAAGGAGGCGGCTTCCGAGCCACCAGCAAGGGTTCCACGAGGGCCAAGACAATCAGTGAGCAGGCGTCCCTGCCCTTGTTCATAGGCATGACAACTGGCACCGGTGTGCTTGCTCTCATGCAGGCAGGGTGTGCACAGTCCCCAGAAACAAGGTGTCACCAGGGCTCCGGAGACAGTGGGGAACACAGAGGCAGCCACTTCTCACTTAGGAATAGGTGGAGGTAGGGCAGGGGCCAGAGTCATCAGCCTTGGGAAGGAGGCAGCCAGAAACAAGCACCATCAAACAGAGCCCCTCTCCATCCACGCAGGGAGGGAAGTGACCAGGAACAAGGAACGCAAAAGCAACAGTGCTTCTGTGGGGCCCAGCATGACCCAGCCAGAGCTGCCAGCTCAGCTGACGTGGCGGCTGCACCTCCTGGTCAGAAACTAAGTCAAGGCCGCCTCCGCAGACCCTGACGGCAGGCACTGCAAGGCGATCCAGGGAGTGAGAGTTCTGGGCATGCGTGGAGTGGAGGACTAGCTGAAGACTTCCTGGAGAAACAAAGTGAGCTTTGGGCGCCGCAGGCGACTTCCTTCAGGACACTGAGTCACATCTCATTTTTGCACACACCTCTCAGCATGGCTCTCAAGAGTGTAAGCTCCTTAAAGGAAACAATCATATCTTATTTGTCTTTGAGAGCCTCCCCTCCAACCGTGCCTAGCCCAGGACAAGGTAGGGAGTTGGTTCAATGGGGCTTGGCAAGAGAAAAGACAGAGTGATCCACGTAGGGAAATGGCAGACTCGGAGTGGAAGGAAGAGCCCAGTGGAGCGGAGAATGGATGAGTGTCATGGAAAGTGAGAAATGAACAGAGGCCACAGGGGAAAGTAAGCGAGGGCTTATGGGGGGCTGTGGAAGCTCAGAGGGGCTGTGGAGCACGGGTGGTGAGGTGTCTCCAGGAGACCCAGCTCTCCCAGTGTCAGCAGGAGAGAGTCTCAGAAAGGGAATTCAGGAGGAACCAAAGACTTGGAGGAGGGAAGAAAAACAGCCCTGAAATAACAAACACCAAAGAAAAAACCCTCTGCTGAGGAGGCAGGAGTCTAGAACCCCAACAGGCAATTATCAGTGATTCACAAACATGGCAATTACAGAGAGGAAAACAGAAGGTGTCCGCCCGGTGCATCTGCCTCCAGCAGGGCAGAGACCCAGCGGGAACACAGACCCAAGCCCCCAGGCTGCCGGGGAGCATGGGCTTCCAAACACCTACACAGCGGGTGGAAAAGTGGAGAAAACAAAAGTGCCCAGCCGGAACCTTGGCAGCCCCGAATCGGGTCTTCTGCAAGCTCCCTCAATCAGGATGCCACCTGGGGAAAGCAACTGATTTGAGAGACCATCAAAATCTGGCCTGACACAGGAGAGACGGCCGCAGCGCAGGGCAGGATCGCAGGAGAAAGTACGAGGCCGGCCATTGTTCGCAAAGCAGCAAAGCTCCTTCCCCAAATAGCGCCCGCCTCTCGGCACCCACTCAGTGCCAGCAACCTGGTGTGCACTGGTCTTCCAGCACACGTAGGGTCCCCGCTGGCAGAGAGGTGGTGGCCTGGCTGCTAGGCCTACCTGGCCACTGCCACCTAGGTGTGTCCGTCTACAAAGCAGCTAAGACCCACCTCCAGATCTCTACGTGAAGATTTAATGTCTTTAAGGTCTTTTAAGATCTCACTGTTCTTTCTGCCAAACAAGAGTTTCCTGCCTCAGTGTCTTCCAAAAGGCTCAAGACACAGGCTCCCACATCCTTTTCCGTAAAGTCACCTTCCCCAAGGGCTCCCTCCTCTCTTGGAGAAGCCCAGGCCGAGTCCACCCTGAGTCCTAAGCGTCATGCTCCATGGCCAGCGAAGCTCTGGTCTCCCAGTTGCCGTCGGCAAAGGTCCCCAAAATGCCTTCTGACCAGCAAGACAAAAGCAAATTCGCGCGGAGGCCAAGGACGCTCGGGCTCCAAAGCGCCCTGAAACTTTCCTTCCCCGGCCCAAGTCGCCCACTCCGAGCCGGCGCCGCTGCTTCCTTCCAGACGTGCACGCACAGCGCGGCGTTCGTGAGCGGCCCCAGACGAGCCCCTTCCAGGCGGCGAGAGGCCCGAGGGGCCGCGGGGCCGCCGGCCCCGGGCGGGCGCGGCAGGGCTGGAACCCAAGGTCCGGCCGGCGCCCGCCGAGCAGGAAATTCCACCTGTCGGGCCGGCGCCGCGGCCACAAACGCCGGCGGAGCGGCTCCCGCGGCCGAGGGACGCGCGGCGCTGCC